CCCGGCTGTCAGGCGAGATCGTCCGGGATCCATGTAATTACGTCCCTCGGGATCGGGCCGATGACTCCGGCGACAAAGTATACCCTCTCGGTTTTACCACTTTATAATCAACGAGCTCGCGTCCCCCTTACGCGGTGCCCGGTTAAACGTGCACCGTAATCGCTCCTAATTATCCGGTCCTTCTGCAGAGGCCGGCCCTGTTTCTCTCTTTCCCCGTCCAGATATCGTGAATTCCCACCCCGGGCGACGGCAAATTTTCGGTCACGCGATCCGACATGATCGAAAGGGCACCGTCGATCTCTCCGCCGAACTTCGCGATCACGTACGTAACGTCTGTTACACAGATATAGGCGCACGACGCGAGTAACCCCGTGGTGATCTTTTTTAAATTCCCGGCCGGTCGGAATCGCGTTTAATTGCGGCCGTGGATCGATCCTCCCCGATCGATTATCCGTTTCAGCCCTCCCTCGGATCGACGCTGCCCGGCGTCGTTTCTATAAGTGTCGTTAATTGGTTCGAGCTGCGATTACTTTCAGTCTTTCGATTACCATTCGAGACGATCCTGGTTTATTTTTTGGCTGGGGCGACCGGTTTGCCGATCGCCGGCGGATCGACGATCTTCCCGATCGGTATCTTTTGGCGAGGCTCGCGGCGCTAGCGATACGCTATGAGAAACTGTCGCGGCAACTTGCGAGGGAAAAGGATTTTTGCAACGGCGAGATGCTAATCGAGGATAAATTAAACGGGCAATTATAGAACGGTGGATACGCTCGTATGAAATATTAATTGATTGATCAATTTTTCGTGTAATTTAATTAAAGACGGCCGAACGCTGGGCCCGGGACATCTTATTAAGACATGACGAAGCTGGTCGGCTTTCTTATTAATTTAATCCACGTAATGAGAACGCATTACTCATCGCGCCGTGTCCCGCGTCTTTGCGGAACAGTCTCTCGATCGTCTTGTGTATTTTTAAAACTCATTTCCAGGGCACTATTTTAGTAAACCGAAGCGGGCTGTAAAAGCTCGCGAGGCGAATTATAGCCGGAACATTAATTGTGAGTTATAGGCTCCTTTTATTAATCCAGGTTGTAACCGATCGAACCGGCGGGCAGTAAAATTTATAATTAAACCACGGAGCTTTCGTACAAGCTTGCGTTTTTTCCTGCCGGAGAATTTAATAGAATTTTCCTCTCTGCGTTCGTGTCGAAGCGCGAAAGATAATATTAGAAGAAAGTTCGAAGTTAATGAAACTTTCTATCGTTTGTCTGCCTGTCTTCCGTACATAAAAGAATAAGTAATTTCCTGTCCGTCACAGAGGAAAAATCTCGATTAGAGATCACAATTTCCCTTCGATCCAGAGACGACGGTAACTAGAGCATTCTCAGGCGCCAAGAAAATCCGTAGAGCCCCCAGGCCGTTCAAACAATCACCCTTCGCTCGGTTCATCATCTCGTAAAGCCTCTATTACCCTCATTCGACGATCGCAATCAGGATTATCGTCGTGGATCGCTCCCCGCCCTCGTAGAAACGACGCGATTCCGTAAACACCGTGTTTCCCTTCAAAGACGACAGACGCTGTTCCGGTTTCCCGTCTTATTCCCCGGAAATAATCAAGCGATTCCGGACACGAAGCGTTTTAACGACGGGAACAGTTTACAGCGCGTTACCTGGCAAGGGTGGTTTTCTTGACTGCGAACGGGAAACGCGTAGAGAAAAGCCAAACGTCTGCGACAAAGAGTTTTCCTGCGGTCGTAAATAATTATCCCTTCCCGGAGATATTAGGGGAAAATATTCGAGGTTCTGCTAATCGTCAGTGCTCCCCCTTCAACGGGCGAAACGTTTCATTCGCTTAATCATTTTAGCTTCGAGGGTTGATTAAAGTGCTTAAAGTCTACAGATTTCAGGATTATATCTTGTATCGCAGTGGAAATTGCAATCTCGAAATAATAAATCTCAAATAACACCAAGGAATTTTTAAACGGATCATTCCATGAACCTAGAACAGCTAATTGAAATGAAATTAACGAGCTCCGAGTGAAGCGTCAACATTGTTTCCATTCGAATTGAAATAAATTAATAAGATCCCATATTAACCCTTAGCACTCCAGGTTGTTTCGTAATCTATCAACAACTGTTACTAATTTTTATAGTATTCCTAGCGAAAATTAGATTATAACATTTCTTCAATCGTTTATTTTCCTTGTTACAAAATTTGGATGTGTGGAAAATCGAATAATTTTAGGGTAGTTTCATTAAGATTCATTGAAATATTTAATATTATAATTTTCCTTGTTACAAAATTTGGATGTGCGGAAAATGGAAAAATTTTATGGTACTTTCATTAAGATACATTGATATATTTAATATTATAACTGATGCAATGGAGCCTACAGAGTTCAAAGGGTTAAAGGTAGAAAGTAACGAGTAGACTTCTTTTTTAACGAGTCACGGGAATCTATTAATGGGCTTCCGGTAGCCAAAGCGTGAACAATTCTGGAGCGAACGGTGGCACCCGAATTATTCTGTCTCGTTACACGCGGAATGCTCCCTTAATGTCGGCCGCTGACGATCTAATTAACGGGTAAATAAAACGTGTACAAGCCACCGCGGGGTCGGCGAACGGATGGCGAAACAAGAGGGTAGTTAGCGGCGGGAATAGGATACGGGGGGTGCGAGTTCGCGGCTAACTTTACGAGCAGCCCCGAAGATAACGGTCGCCGGTCGTGGAAAGAATGGGAAACTCGCGAGATTCGAGGAAGCGCAATTGCAAGGCGGAATCATCGTCGACGGAGAGAGAACCGTCGTCCCCGACTACTTGCCGGATAATTACCGCGAAGTCCCCGGGGTGTGTTCCCGCGATAAAGATATTTATGCAAGGATTGTCCTCCGTGGACGGAAACTTTTGCATTATCAGCTCGAGCAGGGGTATTGTTGCATTGATGGATGTCGCGAGTAATATTAACACATTGCGGACCGGTAACGAGATATCCCGTTTTTATAGAAAGACACTTAGCTGTGCAACTTTCCTAATTACCACAGTATTGAAAAAATATGAAATTTAACCCTGTGCACTCGAGAGGTGACTCTCAGTCACCATTTGATTTGATATAACAAAATTACAAAGTGTTATATATAATATTAAGTTTTGTATAATGCATCAATATGTGAAACATTTATATAAAATAGCTTTGTTTTTTAATTTAGGTATATTTTATCATTAGTTCGTTTCAAATAGTGTCGTCTATATCTCAGCGGAAAGTGTCGAATGTTTCTAGTTAAAAACTTCCGAGTGCAAAGGGTTAATTCGAATTGATTATCTATTTAAAATATATTACACAACAATATAATATCTGAGTTTTTCTGTGTATAGTGATATAAGTTGACCTCAGTGAAAATTGCCATCACAATTCAGTTTTCTGAAAATTAGACGGTACGCGATGTGTTAATCAAAAGTGGAATTATGCTAGGACGTAATAATACGAACGAAGGATGTTACATTTTATTTAAACAGATGGTATTAGGACGGAAGTGGTAGATCTATTGTTAAAAGTATCTTTTGTAGGTTTTATCCTTTTAACACTAGAACTACCGTACCAGTCAAAATGACTGGTTTTGATCTTTTTGTTTCGCAATTATTAATATCTTAAAAGCTTTCAATAATTGAAATGATCTTGAAAATAAATAGTTTCATTTGAATACTATAATGAATGTCTAAAACAACTGACAATAATCTATTGTTACAATTTTCATACGGATTACATGCTGATCGTATTACATGCTCGGTAGTTCTAGTGTTAATTTGGTTTATAGGATGTGTAATATTGTTTTTATATTTTCTAGTTGAACACGGTTCCAGAATGATCCGAGAAAGTTCCTCGATTTAAACATGGACTCCGTAATGATCCTTGAAAATTCACGCTAAAGGGGTGAAAAGGGACGTCTAATTACCTCGGATCGTCGGAGACGAGTCTGCGACGTCGGTGGCCAGTTCGACGAGGTCTTCGAGCCCGCTTACATCATCCCCGCAGTCCATTATAGTATCCTGTAATAAAGAAGAATAATAATTATTATCTCGCTGGTAATACAGATAAAAAGCATTTCACTTAATTGTCAGGGACTTGGAGGAGCAACTTTCATCAGCGGTAGATTGTTTTTCAACCTAACACTCGGTACTTAGTTCCCGAAGAAAATATAAATTTTCCATTAACCGGCTACGGCGAGATTACGCCTCCCAATAAACCATTGCGTTCCCAAAGAAGATAACACGAGATTCCGTAAAAATGCTACCGAAGAAAATTACTTGTACCTACAACCAGACATCTCCGGGTCCCGTAAAATCAAACTATACCACATATTATCCTGTCAGTGTCCGGCCGGGGGTTAACGCGAACCGCCAACAATGTTTTATCGTCCTCGATAACGCCCGTGATACATTCACCGTAATTTCAATCGGCGGGGCTGTAATCAATCGATCTATAATCAATCCATCCGGATCGGGGAAGTAACAGTTTTCGCGAAATAATTCCAGGAAGGCACGGCGCGGGGCGGAGGAGCCCGTTTAATATAGTCATAAAACCGGGAATACACGGGCAACGATCGGCCGAGGGAATGCAAAGAGAGGAGCTGCGCCGTGACGCTCGGAAATTTGCGTGTGTACGGACATATAAGATCTCGTTCGGTCGCGGGGAGGACCGAGGAAGATGACGTTGAAGGAGAAAAAGAGAAGACCGACGAGGAATCGAGAGGAAGAGAGACGGAGATAGGACAAGAAACCGAAAGAGAGAGAGATAGAAG